ACTACTGCTGTAGGAATTATGATATTCAGTTGTCACCTCTGTAGTCCACTAGTTCAGGTTTCCATGGTATCTGTAGTCAGTATATGGAGCACGAGCACATAAAAACGAAGGCATGTGAACAAATTGATCCCACTCTTGAATGAAGTTGTTTCGAGATTCGGACTTTCTTGTAACTTACATCCCAGTTAAAAATTATTTGCAAGGAGATTAACAGTATACTTTGAGTACAATCTTTCAGTATTTTATCTATAGTTGATGCTTTTTTTTTCTCATTGGTAAATGTAATGACTATTTATCAGGTACTATGGAGGATGGGCAGCACCTAACATATACTTTTTGGGGTTTGCTGGTGTTGTTAAGTTTGGAAACATACGAATTGGTGGATTGTCAGGAATATATAACAAATACCATTATCATTTAGGCAAGTCTGTTTTTGTTTTACTTGTGATACTTGGATTTGTTATTTTTTAACCTTGCATCTAGAGGGTACTATCATATAAGGGCAGAAGACTAATGAAAAATGATTTAACTGTAACTTTTTGTGCATTGAGGAACCCAAGCTTATTGCTAATATGCAGGGCACTACGAGAGGCCTCCATACAATGAAGATACTATACGGTCTGTGTACCATGTAAGGCATTATGACGTTCTCAAACTCATGCATTTGAAGGAGCCGCTAGATGTATTCTTGTCACATGATTGGCCTCTGGGCATTACTGAGTATGGAAACTGGCAGAAGCTCATTAGTGTGAAGAAGCACTTTGAAGAAGAGGTAATGCCCACTGGCTTATTAGATTATTTTAAAGCTTAATGCCATGGCGTCATTACTTCCCCTATACCATATACTTCACGTGACAGATTCAATTTCAGTGTGCTAGCAGAACCCTGTTAGTTCTAGAATATGTATTGGTCCGAATAATAAATCTTGCTAAGACTTTAGGTGAAACCTGGCCAACTTCCTCTTGTGAATGCCCTTGCTCTTGCTGTGCTTTGAAATCCAACTTTGTTGTCTGCTTTTATTCTGTACCTAGAAAAATATCCTTGTACATGATGACCGTTGTGTAGGTCTGTAGCCTGTAGGGTTAATGTCCTTAGGTTTCCTTGTTTTAGTTTGGCACATGCACCGTGTTTTTTGACCGAATCAGCAGGGGAATCCCCTACCTATTTTTTTTCTTTTTCCATTAAATGAAAGAATGCTATGTACACGGTGCAAAGCAAAAAACAAACAAGAATACAAGGCAACTAGGCCCAAAAGAGAAAACACTCAGATTACATATAGTTCTCTCTCCAAAAACTAAGGGGTGCTTGCCTAGCTGGCTTGGCTTTGGTACACACTAAACCGTGTTTGACAGTTTGAGTGAATTTAATTTCTTACAACAAACATCTTTCTTTCTTCTGTAACTCGTATTCATATATCTTCTGGAATGCAAATGTTATACTATAATCAATGCTTATTTATTTTTCCAGGTTAACAATAGAACACTAGGTAGCAAACCTGCAGCCGAATTACTGAACAAACTAAAACCACCATACTGGTTTTCGGGGCACCTTCACTGTAAGTTCCCTGCTATCATCCAGCATGGAAATAATGGACCTACGACGAAGTTTCTTGCGCTTGATAAGTGCATTCCTGGGCGCAATTTTTTGCAGGTGCTCTCATTTCTTTCAGGATACTTTCCATCGTTATAAATAAAAGTTTTGTAATACATGTTTGTTTCTGAAGTTATCCATTCCATTTTAGGTTATAGACATTCCATCCAATCCAGGACCATATGAAATCCAGTATGATGAAGAATGGCTTGCAATAACACGAAAATTCAGCAGTGTTTTCCCCTTAGCACGGACACGATTTACTATGCGGTTGGTGCATATAATATCTTTATTCATTAGCAGTTTAGCACATAGTCCATGCTCTGAAAAATTTGTAGCCACTGCTAAATCTGGAGATGTTCAACTTTTTTTCTTAAAAGGGATGAGCAGCTTGACACTCAAGAAGACCGTCAATGGGTCAGGAGCAAGTTGAATACTAGAGGAGCTAAGCCTTTTGATTTTGTCCAGACTGCACCATCTTTCAATCCTTCCAATACAATATCTAAACACTCCATGACAGGTAAATTTGAATATTCACTTGTGAACTTAATCTGCTACTTATAGCTTTTATTGGGCTATATATTGTTCAGTCCTTTAAGTTTGGTGTTACATATCACACATTTCCTTTAAACCCAATGACTTTTCTATCAAGAATCAAAACTATGAAAAATAGTTGTGATTCTGATCATTTCTTATTTCCATCTGGATGTTAACTTTAACTTTTTAAGACCATACTTGGGATAAAGTTTGAATCTATCTCCTTTTTTACCAAAGTTCTGACTTAGCATTTCACATTTTTTCTTTGTTATACACAGTTTGCTGCAGGAACCCACAAACTGAGTCTTTTCTTCAGCTTCTGGAACTCCCATATCTGCTGGACTCATCTAACTCGGAGGGTCATTATCTAAAAAAATCTAACTCGGAGGGTATGTCTCTTGCGATTGGTTTAATATCATTTCTGTTTATGTTTAAGCACTTTATTTCATACATATGTAAAGTCAGAACTACTGGTCTCAATGACTTTCCTCTGTAGACAGTTTATACTATCACTTGTGCTTCTAGATTTTTTATAATTTATGGTTTCTCATCTTTCGATCTACAGGGTTTGGTAGAAATGAGTCAAGCTCTCAGCCAGGAAACACACTTGATGATGAAGATATAGAGCTACCAGATGAAGATGAAGATGCTTTAGAAGATGATGAGTGAAGGACAGCGCTGTTGGACAAGTACCTATCATGTTGGTTGCAGGTTTTTGCGATGGTTTGCACTCTAGATATCTAGACGAGGAACTAACATGTACTAGGTTGTATTGTCATAGCTGCTTGTTTGTGGGAGAAGGTTTGTGGAATTACAGGGTGATCAGTTGATCACAATGCCAACTCTCTGGTGTTGAGTTCATACTGATTTTTCAACTAACTACAATTAATAACTAGGTGCATTTGGTGGAAAAATGTTAACCAAAATAGCATCTACTAGCAAAGTAGAGATCAGATATATATATAAAAAACATATATTTGGAACATGTGTGCGTAACTACTAGACCTAGCTAGTCACTTTTCATTTCTACAGAAGACTTGTTATGAATGATGAATACGCAGACCACTTTTTTATGACCTGTCTCATTCCAAAGGTACATTTGTTTCCCATGATATCTCTATCAACTTTACGTATTTTCACTCCCGCAGTGCTAGTGCCGGACGTCCGGATTGACGCCCGCGTCCAAACACACGCGCCTGCACTCCATTTGCCCCCGTGCACCTGCATCCCGCGCCCGCCTACGTGGGGCCCGTGCCGCTTGACTCACCTGACTGCACGTGGGGAGTCCGAGTCCTCACTCGCGCCCCCTTCACTTCTCACGCGCATGCAGGTGCCCAACAAACTGCAGCAAGTGGCTATGCCATCGTCTAGAAGAGGGGGAGGGGGGCGGCGGATGCCTAGCCGGCGCTGGGAGGAGGAAGAGACACCGAGGCGAAGGTGAGGCAGCAGAAAAGCAAAGACAGAGATGCAACACTCGATCTACTTTTGAAACATCCGGATGCAACACTTGCAACATACGTCTGAAGACAGATGAAACACATGAAACATCCAGCTGCAACACCAGATCTACTTTTGAAACATCTAGATGAAACACTTGCAACGTACATACGAAACAGCTGAAACACTTGAAACATGCGTATGAAAAACTTGCAAAAAAACACACCGAAAACACTTCATATGTGTGAAAACATGTGCAACATCTGGATCAAAACGCTTGCAACATACGTCTAGAAACAAATGAAACAGTTTGAACAAACGCTTGCAACATGCCTCTGAAACACTTACAACATATGCAACATGTGCAACATCCCCGATCTACTTTTGCAACATCTATATGACACTATTGCAACATGCCTTTGAAACGTATAAAACAATTGAAACGTACATTTGCAACATAGGGGGGAGAGAGGCCTGGGCCGGTCGATTCCGGCCGATAGGGTGGGAGCCGACGGCGAGCGTTTGCGCGTGAGCACCACCACCACCAGCGCTATCGGCACCGGGCTTGGCTCGGCGGTGACGGTGGGGGATGGGGGGCGGGGAGCGCCATGGCTGCCGGGGTAGGGGAGTTCGGTCACCGGGGTAAGAGAGGGTGCTGCGCCGAGGTGGGGGAGAGCCGCCGACTCCCCTGCAGCACCGCCACGCCATGTCCATAGATCTCGCTCGTGCTCCATGGATCTCGTCGGGGTGGGTGAGGGCGCCGCCCGCTGCCAGGGAGGCAGCCATGGGCGCGCGTTGGGGCGGGGCAGGGCGCGAACACGGGAGGGATAAGGATGGGGAGGAGGAAGGAAGGGATAAATTTTTTTTCCAGTAGCGCGCGGCGCGTGTGGGAGTAAACGGTGGGAGATGTCCGTCCGTCCGGATGTCTTAATTGTATCATTATCGTTTTCATCCAGCTTACTGTCTTAGCACATCATGCTTTATTATGACAGAGCAGTTTGGGGCTGAACAACGTTCTCCCCAAAATCTGTGGTTAAAGCTGAAACCAGGCCGCAGAAATTACTACCAAACACGTTGCTGCAGCAGATCACAAGATACACAAGGAAAAAGAAATCCACATTTCAATGGGGGCCTAACGTCTGAAAAGTGAAAACACCCTGTCGCCGTTCTTCGAGCGTTCTGAATTTCTGATTGCTTTTCCCCAGCGCGTCAAGCCCTCAAAGAACGACGTTGCCAACGCCCAACGCCTGGTTACGCCACTACCCGGCCCCGCCCCCGCCGCAGCCCAAACCGCCCCCGGCCCGCGGCCCACGCGAACCAAACCCGCCCAGCCGCCGCGCACCACACACAGTCGAGAGCCCAACCCGACCTGACCCGATTCGAAAGGACAAAGGAGGGTTATCGCGTCGCGTTGCGTCCCTCTGGTTCCGGCGGCCATGGCGGTGGCGGCCCCTGGCCAGCTCAACCTCGACGAGGCCCCCTCATGGGGCTCCCGCAGCGTCGACTGCTTCGAGAAGCTGGAGCAGATCGGCGAGGGCACCTATGGGTAACCTCCGCCTCTCCCATCCCATCCGCCCTAATCGATCTGGTGATTACTCTACCTGTCTACTCATCTAATTCCTCGAATCGCTTCGTTCCGCGGCCGCCGACGGCAGACAAGTGTACATGGCGAAGGAGACGGGCACCAACGAGATCGTCGCGCTCAAGAAGATCCGCATGGACAACGAGCGCGAAGGGGTGAGTATGTTCTCGCCACTACTTCCTCTCGCGGCTTAGTTTTCGGCTCTGACCTGGTCGTGTCGCTGCAGTTCCCGATCACCGCCATACGCGAGATCAAGATCCTGAAGAAGCTTCACCACCAGAACGTTATCAAGCTCAAGGAGATCGTCACCTCCCCAGGTTGTTACATCCACAAGTAAAATGAATTAGATGTGTGTATGCCTTCTGCCTTTTTGTCCTTTTGTCCTCTGGGCTGACGATTGGATTGGGGGGAATTGTTGCAGGCCCAGAGCGGGATGAGCAAGGGAAGCCAAGTATGGCGAGCTCTGTTCTTGTGATTGAGTTCCACTTTTTTTTTTTTTTCGGGGGGGGGGGGGGGGGGGTTTGTTAAGTTAGAGCAGTAGTAATGGTTGGCACCAATTGTTGTGTTTTTGAATTAGTTGAGGGCAACAAGTACAAGGGGAGCATTTACATGGTTTTCGAGTATATGGACCATGACCTCACCGGGCTTGCTGATCGGCCAGGAATGCGGTTCACTGTGCCACAGATTAAGGTATAACCACCTATCCATGTAACTGGCAGTCTGGCAGTGCTTTGCTTTGGATGTGTCATGGTTTTATCCCTGATGAAATACCTTGTTCCAGTGTTACATGAGGCAGCTGCTTACAGGCCTGCACTATTGTCATGTCAACCAAGTTCTGCATCGAGATATCAAAGGTCTTAGCTGCACACATCTCTGCTGAGTTTTTCTTGTTTTCCTTATTCCTGTTATTTGTGTCTTGTTGAGCTAACATATTGTATTCGATACTTTGTTTGTAGGATCTAACCTCTTGATAGACAATGAGGGTAACTTGAAGCTTGCTGATTTCGGCCTTGCAAGATCATTCTCGAGTGATCACAATGGAAACCTTACTAACCGTGTGATCACTTTGTGGTATAGGTATTGTCTATTTTCACAGGTTTTGTTATCGTATTTACAGTTGTTATCGTAAGCTTCTTATTGTCTTCCTGGATTGTGGCTGCAGACCTCCAGAGTTGCTACTTGGAAGCACAAAGTATGGTCCAGCCGTTGACATGTGGTCAGTGGGCTGTATTTTTGCAGAACTTCTCAATGGGAAGCCAATATTGCCTGGAAAGAATGAGGTGGACTTTTTTTTCAGGCCTTCGTGTTTTAGTTCTGTTTTTTTTTTCAGTATTGCCACTTACCAAATCTGCGAGCACAAGTTTACTTGAGCCCCTTTGTGTTACGCCTTGGTTAAATAAACTGCCAGCTATTATGTATGCTGTTTCATTCATGCAAAATGATCAGCCAAAGCCTTGATCATACGCTGATCAGTATATATTATGCTTCAGATCTTTAGTTGTCTTGTGGCATAGTTTTCCATCATGGCCTTGATTCTAGTTACAACTTTCAATGGCATCTCCTTCTGATGTTTTGCTATTCCTGCAGCCAGAGCAGCTGACTAAGATCTTCGAGCTTTGTGGTACCCCTGATGACCAAATCTGGCCTGGTGTCACAAAAATGCCATGGTACAACAACTTCAAGCCTCCCCGGCCATTAAAGAGACGAGTTAAAGAGTTCTTTAAACAGTGAGTGATACATGACATATATTTGCACTAATATGGCTTTTAAGTCGCCTGATTGTTGCTCATCCTTCTATATAATTGTAGTTTTGATCGGCATGCACTGGAACTGTTAGAGAAGATGTTGACTTTAGATCCATCACAGGTATGCTATGTGTGAATTTTACAGAAGTTTTATTTGTTTAGCCATTTAAATGATTAATTCCTACTCCGTGCATTTTTTGGCTACTATGTGTTGTCTACACCTATCATTTAGATCTGCTTTTCACGTGTCAACAAATTTTCACCTTTTTTAAATTATTCAGAGGATATCAGCAAAAGATGCACTTGATGCAGAATATTTCTGGACTGATCCCTTACCATGCGATCCAAAGAGGTGCATTCAAATGGCAGTTCTTGTTACATTGCCACATAGCTCCTTTTTACCATCTTCTCCAACTAACTTCTAATTGTTTGCTTATACAGTTTGCCCAAGTATGAGGCATCACATGAATTCCAGACAAAGAAAAAGCGTCAGCAACAAAGGCAAGCAGAGGAAGCTGCAAAGCGTCAAAAACTTAATCATCCTCCACCACATTCTCGTTTGCCTCCAATCCAGCAGCCTGGCCAAGCACATCCTCAAATCAGGCCTGGCCAGGGTATGCACAATGTGCCTCCTGTGGCAGCTGGCCCAGGCCATCACTATGCAAAGCCCCGAGGACCAGGAGGTCCTAGCCGGTATCCTCAGGGTGGGAATCAAGGGGCAGGCTACAATCCGAACCGTGGAGGGCAGGGTGGTGGCTATGGCAGTGGCCCGTATCCCCAGCAAGGACGAGGACCTCCTTACCCTGGCGGTGGAATGGGTGGAGCAGGTGGTCTGCGGGGCAGTGGTGGCAGTGGCTATGGAGCTGGCGGGCCAAACTACCAACAGGGTGGCCTCATATGGTGCGTCCGGTCCAGGTCGAGGACCAAACTACTCTCAAGGTGGCTCCCGCAATCAGCAACAGTATGGGAACTGGCAATAATATGGCAGGCAGTATCATGCCATTGAGATGTATGTATCTGCAGAACCTCTGCAGTTTAAGCATGTTGTGAGATGTATGTCATGATTAGTACTGTAATACAGTCCAGATATCTCAAAAGCGCTGTTTATGACTCCAGATGTAAGATTATGATGATCGAGATATTTCTAAGTACTTGAAACCATTGATTCACTTACTGGAAGGATGGCACAAAGATATATGAGTTTGCCAGTAGCCCCATTTTCATGCTTGCATATCCTTTGCCGAAACAAAATGCTACTTAACGTAGCTTCTCTCATCTTCTTGCCGTGCGCAAACTTGGAATTGGGGATGCATGGAAGAAACCTGAAGTTCATAAATGAAACAATTTGTTATGGTTGTGTACAGTTTTGATATCCTCCAATGCTTAGCACATCTGTAACTAGTGAGATCGCAGATGATCCAAGAATTCACTTACAATTTGATATCACTCCCGGTGCCATTCAAAAGTTTACAGTCCCCAGCCTCTTACACAAGGGTCCCGCAGGTCCACAAACTCCACCACCAAACTTAGCATAGTTTTATTTTTCCTTATCACAAAACCTACTTATACACAATAATAGTATGTTTTCCGTTCGAGATCACTTTGCTTCAATCACATTATGAAGCTAAAAACATGTTCTGATATCTTGACGCGACATATGCCTGTACAAACTGTTCGTCATAATCATGTTAGATGACCTCTTTGTAATGTAACATATATATGAATACACTCTCCACCAGATACGTTTCTGCAGCAGATCACAAGATATACAACAAGTCACTTTGAAGTTTGACCATGTCTTGTACTGAAAACTAAACCTGCAACCAACTCTACGTCTGAAAACACCCTGTCGCCGTTCTTGGAGCATTCTGATTGCTTTTCCCAGCGCCTCAACGAACGACGTTGCCAACGCCCGGTCGCGCCACGCGCAATCACCTTACTGGACTACCCGGCCTTTTGGCCTCTCCGGTCTCCTCCCACAAAATCTTTCTCTCTGACCAGGGAGAGCTAGCACGATTGCGCTATTTCTTTTGAGTTTTGACAGCAAAGTATATATGAACCGTTCCAGTTTTCACAGGTGGAATTATTTACAACTTTTCAGCAGCAAAAACTATGCTGCCACCGGCCATATAATTAGAGACTTAGTTGCAATTGGTTGAGCAGCCAATTCACAGGGGACAGCATCGCAATCAGTGATGTGGTTTGAGGGGGACTGTTACAAGTAATCAATAGTAACCTAATGCATAAGAGATCCCTAGGGCAAGCTATCAGTCAGATCGTTTCAAACCCATTGGCCCGAGAAGATTTGGATCTTGCCACCTCAATCATGCATCTAAAATCTCACAAGCAGGCAAAAAATTATATGCAGGGATTAGAGAATAGTCGTGGTTGCAATTGTGGGTTTAAAAATAAAAAATCCATGGAGTGGGAGGAGATCAGATGCTTCAAACAAGTCTTTATTGTGCCAACCAGAGCAAGGTAGGCTTTGGTTGACTAATGCAACTTAGTTGTCAAGGCACGTTGGTGTGATGTGCTGTGACACAAAAGAAACTACGATTGCACTATTAGTATTATTTTCTCATAGCTGCAACTATGAGGGAGTTCACACGGAAATTAGGACATCATGTTGTCATGCTGAAGATGTCAGGTTTCAAGTTCCCAACATATTATACAGCCATAGAGAACTAGGGGATGGGTTATAGAGTAAGAGGCTAAGAGCTAAGAACAGTGGATTCATAATTCCAAAAAAATTCTACAATATTTTAGAAATTAAGGATGTATAAGTTCTAAAAAATAGTAGATCGATCATTTTTCGGTACACTTTAAAATTATTGTCAATATTCTTTTTGGACAATTTTAGAAATGTTGGCTTTACAATTTAATTTCTATTATATTAGTTTGTGGAGTGATTATGAATAGGATAACTCGACTCCGGCGGAGATATATGTAAAGAACAATTACAATCGCGGTCCATGAACAGTCTGCGAAATTTCTCACCATTAAGAAAAGACAGATCTCGAGTAAGCTGAAAAGACATGTGACCAAGAATTGAAAGCCATGAAAGGTAACAAACGAGCACATTTATATATTTTTTTATTTATTTATTTATTTTATGCCTGTATGAGAGTAAACAAGAGAGCACAACAACTACACCTTGATCCTGTGACAACAAAACTCACATGTGAAAACTATAAGCAAAGGGTCCATCAAGTGGCGGGCAACTTGTAGGACCCTCAAAAAAACAAAGCAAGTGGCACCCCTACAGTACTTCCAAATCAAGGCTTGCAAAGTCCCCCTCAGAGCTGAAAAAAAGATGGCGCCATTTTCTCCACAATTGAAGCTTTTCTGGGAGCAGTGTGATCAAGATTGAGAGGACGGCAAAGGTAGGTGTTTGTGTTTGAGAAACACAATCCTGTCATGGAAAAACAAGATGAAAGGGCAACATACTGGCAAAGGGGAGAAAGAAAATTGGGTTTGTAAAAGTCAAACTCCCCGGCCTATATAGCAAAGCCCTAGAAAAAGGCTGGTCTCTTCTTTTTGGTTTTTTTTTTACAATCTGCTCCCTCCCAAAAACATGGAGTGACAAGATCAAACCATGTAAAAAATTGGAGGGAGAGAAAATAGGTTGGTAGGTAACTAGGTAATAATCTCTGCACCCATGCAGCAAAAACCTGTGGAAATGACTATCTTTGGGGGCTCTGTTGGGGACTGCAAGCAACTCTCTTCGGAAGCAAGGCAAGGAAGAACCTGATAACCTAACCACTAGCCTCAAATCCTTAAGGCTGATGGGAAAAAGTTGGCCTAGATTAAGCTTGGTCAGAAGCTAAACCCATCAGAAGGATGATTTGAACGCTTGATTTAGCTTCTTGACAATATCCTTGACAGACATGCAGAAGTCGTCACCAGCCTGCGGGAAAATCGGCAGATGAGTTAGCATCACATGATGAATGATCAATAAGTGTGTACAGAAGAAGAAAGTATCATGCATGGCAGTCAGACAGCTAGTGGTTGATCGAGCTGACTCACCATGGCCATGATGGTGATGTCGAGGGAGGAGGTGGTGAAGGGGAGCACATTGGTGTTCATGATGGAGAGGCCGAGGCGCTCGATCTCGGAGAGGGCAGCGATGAGCACCCCCTTGCGGTTCTCGCAGTGGATCCTGACGAGCACCGTGCGGTCAGACACCCGGGCCTCGATCTCCGGCAGCGTGCCGGAAGCGTCGGTGCCCACGAAGTTCTCGTCGCAGGAGGAGCCCTCGTCGTCGTCGGCGGACAGCTGGGACTTCTTGACCAGCACCGCCGCCTCGACCGGGCGCCGCCGGGCCTCATCCTCCAGCCCCTTCACCTGGTCCTGCAGCTGTTTCACGTACTTGATCGCGTCGCCGAGCACCGATGCCTTGTCCATCTGCGAGCGAGAGCAGTCAAATCAGTTAGTTGACCGGACCTGCCTGGCTGGCTGGCTAGTCGCGCGCTCTCGGCGCCTTCGCGGCATGTCGCCATGGATTTAGTTTGGGCGTTCGTGCCTATCTGTTCCTACCTTCTTGAGGCCAGGGACGATCTTGGAGAGGGCGATGAAGCGCTGGCTGAGCTTCTCGCGGCGCTTCCGCTCGGCCAAGATGTGGTCCTGGTTCTGCGACGCCGGGCGTGTGGCGGCGGCGGCCGGCGCCTTATTGGCGGCCTCGGCAACCGCGGCCATGTCGTCGTAGGAACGCTTGGCCGGGTGCGGCTGCTGGAACGGCAGCGTGGCGGCGGCGGCGTCCACCACCTCCTGCTTCGGCGCCTTCGCGGCGCCGAAGTACGCGGCGTTAGGCGCGTGGTGCATCGGCTCCGCCTTGGCGAACGCAGCCGCGGCAGCGGCATGGCCGCCGAAGGAGAGCATGGTCCGCGAGGAGGAGTCCGCGGGGGAGCCCTGCTCTGTGATGCACGAGTCCCAGCTGGTGTTGACCTTGGCGGCCTTGCGCGGGCGGTGCGGGTGCTCGGCCGCCGCGGGCTGCTGCTGCTGCAGCATCGGCATCGTCGACAGCGCCGCCGCCACGGCGTGGTCCACCTCCCCCTGCCCGAACGCCACCGCGATCTGCTGCTCCGTGTACTGCTCCAGCAGCGCGTCCGACTGCCACTGGTGGAAGAAGCTCGGCTCGTCCATCACCTGCGCGCGCAAGCCAAGAAAGCATCAGTATCTGATCTATTCAGCGATAGAGGAAGCTGCTGCCATCGAAGTGCAGATGAAGCTGCAGGCTTTCATCAACCAGTGACGAGGCTTTCATCAACCAGTGACGGACACGGACTCACTCACCATGTTGGAGAACCACTGCGTTTCCATCTGCAGATTGCTTGCTTGGGATTGGGACGCCTTGTTTCCAAACCAAAATCCAAAATGACTGCTAGTGCTATATAGGCTACTAGCTGCTTGAAAGCTCAACAAGTCCTGAAGACAGCATGAATAGCGATAATAAAGAGTTAGAGAGAGGCAGAGGAGATCACTGCATTGTGCAGTGAAATTGAATAAACTGCACTACTTCATGCATAGATAGCTGGAGTGGCACAAGATGCGTGGAAGACTGCATCTGATTCTATCGGTGTGTGTGGTGTGACATCATGGGACGGTGCGAGGGAGGGAGTGCGACCAACACCAACCTGTGGAGATTGGAGGAGAGAGGGGCCTGGCCTGGTCCCTTTCGTTTGCAATTGCACCAATGGAGATGAGGGAATGGGACATGCCGCATCGCCTTATGCCCTTATATAACCTCTCGGGCTGGGCTGGGCCACACTATTTTATTTTTATATCCGGCCTCTCTCGTGTCTTGGTTGGGTGTGAATGCGGACTACTCGGCCTCTTCCTCCTCCTCCTCCTCTCTCTTTCCTTGCATAATATTGGTTGCTTTGAGCTGCGATTCAACTGTGCAAATGGTGGCTAAAGTATTCGCGTCCTCTTGATCTACTTGTACGAACGACGACGCATAGTTTATTGCGCGCTCTCTAGTCTCTGCCTTGTACTGTACAGCATCCTGGCAGGCAAGTAGGTGATGTTTATTTTGATCGCGTTACCTCATGATGATGTCACTGGAGGGATTGCTTAGGCATTGAGTTGTAGCAAATTATACTGATTTGTCCTTTTTTGTGCTGTCGTTGTTTCCCCCCCGATTCAGTGATGGGTTAATTCCTATTCGTAGATATGTTCTTGACAACGCACATGAATTTTCGGGAGATATGACCTCTTATGGTGTTTGTAATGCAAAGTGTATGAGATCATGCAACTTTCGGGAGATATTTTCTCGTCAGCATCCTCCTCCACTCATATCTCGACAGACGACAATCGTTTAAACCGACCTCGATTGTTTTTTCTCTACTATACGCAGCACTCATCAGAGCTAAAAGCTGCTGCACAGTCCGGGGATAACTAATCGCGCTCCATCGATAGGCAACAAATTAATGATTTGTGCAAAAAAAATTTGAGGAAATGATTTGTGCAAATTAATGCTCTGGATGTATTTTTATTGCCAGTGCAGCCTGTAGGCTGTAGCTTGCAAGGAAAGATGCCTTGGGTGGATTATGACTTAGGCCCAACTCACATGGGGCCAGCCATTTGATAATTAGTTAAAAGCAAAGTACGTATGTATAATAGTGTTGAAGCATTATGATGAGTAGTATTAGACAAGAGGGGGATTATCAAATGATGATCTAACGATGGATTAATCAGGAGATTTGCTCGAGATTTGTTCAAGATTATTTTCAAGATTCTAGCAGCAGGGTCGTCTGGGTCTGGGGTGGACTCCCAACCATAGCTAGGTGCGTCGTCGTTGCGCCATTTCGTGGGAAGGAGAGAGAGAGTTGCGCAAATTTTAAAGGAGCACTTGTTGGAGAAAAGTATGATGTGGCTCCCAACTTTTGGGGTAAGAGTTACATGGACAACTAGAGGAGAGAAAATAATTACTTATTACCACATGCATGTTGGCCAATATGGTAGTATGTGCTTATTAATTACTAGTACTTGTGTAAGCAAAAAGGCTTAATTATTTATTTCTTGGCTGGTGGGATCCACCTACCCGTACGTCGTTTGTATATATGTTTGGTGAGTAATGGAATTTCATGTTTTAAGCACTTTAAGGGGATATGTTTTTCACACATCTTTGACTAAATTGTGGAGCAAATGAGGATCTCTAGTTGAAACAATGCATAATATGTCTTTTTCCTTTGTGATTGAAACTATGGTTTGGCCAAAGCAAGGCAACTACACAATTTTAGGATTGCAACCGCCGATTATTGTGATCGATATCAGTCGGATCCTTGTGGTGCAGTTGAACTAATTAGAATTAAACTAAATCCTGTAAATTGTTATTGACTCTTAGTAGTTAGATGATTGAAACAAACCATTCATTCACGAGATCGAATCCATATATTTGATCCTATGGCCTGTATATATTCATTTGTAACTGGGATTAATTGCAGTATATAATATTAAGTTAATTATGTACACATTTACATTCTTGCATTGCAGAGCACAAATCAGATTATTTAGGCCTTTTTTTTTTGCCGTTGCCTAAATGCGAGAGAGCCACTTGACAACTGATGGAGCTAGCCGCTCTAGCTACTTGTTGCCGCAAATTGATGATTTTAGCTTATCTGTGACACAGCAGAGCATGCATGCATGCAGGCATGCAGCAATATAGTGCCACTTATCATGAAGGATACCCATGCTTCCAGGCCTGCATCTACTATCTGAATGCGTGACCTGCAGATCCAACCAACTCGCTTCAATAACTGCCCAAGATAAAACCGAAGAAGGTACAAGAGATCAGACATATATAATATTCACATTATTGCATGTGATGATGAGTCGTCTCACGGCTTTATCACCTAGCTAGTACACCTTACCTTTGAGGTTATCCCATCATGGATTGTTTGGGCTTCATTGGTACTGCCTTGTTTGTTGCTGCTCCTTTCAAGTTCAGGGCACATGCATGCGCGCAACGATCGATATGAACTGCGGGCATTATTGGGGATTTGGGATCCAGCGATAAACAAACCACCCAGATCACCAGCTAGCTTCTATGCAAAGCAGCTGGTTGGCCCTTGATCGGCACCTCCAGACCAAAAATGGTTGGGATTGGCTATGCCTTATTTATCTTTACCTCAACTAAAATCTATCAGTAATAAATGAACCCTTTTCTTCCATTACGATCAGACTAAGAGTTAATCCTATAAATCATAATTTCTGGGCACTAAATGATTTTCAATAAAAAAATCAACAACTAAAAAGTTGCATATCTCTTCGAAAACTACAGCATTGGTTCATGTCGTTTTCCCATATGAGATACATTGAAAAAATTAAAAACATGAATATTAAAATCTAAAAACTTAAAACAGAATTTCGGGTACTAAATAATTGCAAATGGAAAAGTAGTCAACTAAAAAGTTGCGGATACCTACAACTTTGGTTTAGGTCATTTCCGCATCCGAGGTCATTTGAAAAAAATGATTTCAAATTGTAGATCTCTTTGAGTACTATAACTTTAATATGAAATTTGTCTTCAGCCGACTTGAATTAAAAAAGTTATAAATTTTACTATGTTGCATCTATTTTTATAGATGGACCAAATTGTCAGTTGTCTCTAGAACTCCATTATACACCACTAAAATCAATTCTAGAGGCGGACTGGTTTAGAAACCATTTTAAAAGTTGGATTTTGATAGAGCCGCCTCTATTGAAAAAAGAGATGTCTCTAAAAAATAGTTTTTTTTTGGCAGTGTCTGGGTACTTCGCTCCTATGCTTGGAACACCTATACTACTTCATCATGATGCACAGTTCCTTTTGTTTTCCTTTCCACTCGGTATATATCGATCAGTATGGGCATCCTAGGCAACAGTAGCTCTTGCATTAATTGGGCACATGGTGAATGTTATGCTTATGCCGTTGCATGCGCTGTTGTGAGGAAGATTCACGGATGCTTCAAGTACGAATCCACCAAAAGTGAGGGGGTCAAAAGGGAAAGTTGAATGATTGTTGTCAAAGTCAAAGAGGGGCTGGTGCAGAATGGGCGAATTTATTTTATACACTGTGGGGTTTCATTAATTTGGCTATAGCTTAAGACCAACTCAAATGATTTCAGGAATCACGTTTAGTTAATTGGGTTGGTGCGTCGTAAGTAGCTAGGAGTTGCTAGCAGTGGACGCGAGAATATGGAGAGTAATTATATACCGTACTATGTATGCTTTCATACTAATATAACAAGAACATTAGTACTGGCAACAAGAATATAAGAAATTCTCTACGGTTGTCTTCTTCTTAGGCTCAGCAAAACGCTCATATGTTTCAGTTTCACTATGTTATTAGGTCCAAGAAAATTGGGGTCAACAATATGTGAACATCGCAACTACACGTTTCACGACCATGCCCTCGATCGGTTGTTTTCCCTAGAGTTTCTTGTCCTGTACCTCCAGCATCTTGAGTCCAATGATCCCGGCCCCTTGTACAAAAAATTCTATCACGCGCCAAGTCGCCAACGATGAGGTGCCAGCACGGTACGGTCAAAAGACCCTCATCATCATCTAGAAGGCTGGCTAGCTAACTAATCTAGCTATAGCCAGTTTGCCGGTAGATCCAGTCCAGCGCCTATCACAGGTCCCGTTTTTCCTCTCCTGATGAGTGAGTGTGAGAGTAGCAGCGAGTAGTGACTGTCCCTTTCTCAGTTTTGCCCCTAGCTCCCCACTTTCCCATGACAGGTCCATTTCCAAGTTGAGTTATACCGGGCGGCCGGTTACGTGATAGGCTATCGTGCCGAGGCGAGCGGCTGTGAGCTCGATCGACTACTGGCGCCCATCACAATTCACAACCGCAGCAGGGCCGCCCGCAGTCCTCTCCCCGGCTCGCCGACACGGCCGAAAGCAGAGGGAACCATCGGTACGACCGTGTCCGTGGCCACAGGTTCTGCGAGAATCTTGGAGGCACCCACCAACCCGACGCGCGCGACGACGACGACTCCACCCTGCCTGCCCGGCTGGCTGGCTGGGACTGTCCCACTGATCGCGGCCGATATGATCGGGCGGGCGGCGGAGAAAAAATCGGGGACCCCGCGTGCGCACGCGGGCACGCGTCGGCTACTCGGCAGCAGCCAGCACGGCCGCGTCGGCCTGGCGCCTAGCGGGCGGGCGTACGGCTGCCTTGACCAGGAGCCGCGCTAGCGTGTGGGCGCGAGCAATCAGCCGCACGTTTTTCTGGCTTTGCGGCTGCGGGGAGAGGCCCGGGGCGGGTTCAGACTTCAGACGCTCGCTCTCCCGGATTCGTGGGAGGGGCAGCC